CTAAAAAAATCCGCACATAATAATTTGTTATATTGATGTAACATATGTTTGATGATCAACCGCCATCGAACACCACAGTAGCCCATTCTTGCAATAAATCATGTGTAAATAATTACACAAATTTGATTTGCACGGAATGTAAAAACCATTAAATCAGCTAATTTTGTCAACTGACGAAGATAATTTGGCCGAATCCTTTAATTCTGGGTCAAATTAATTTTATTTCTATTTTATTTTTATTTTTATTATTTTCTTATTTTCATTATATTGTTTTTATTTTTATTAATTCTATTTATTTATTAATAACGTGTATAATTATCTGCTATGGTTTAACAGGGGTAAATTTACATATATTTGGCCTTATGTTTTTAAAAAATTTCATTTTAATGGAGCTTTCTGATTAACGGGCCTAAGAATAATTCAAGATATCGAAGGCCTAAAAGTTGGTGAAACTATAGCTCTTGTTACAATAATTATGATCCTCGACTAAGTCAAAATCTACATCCATTGGTAATAATTCTTCGATTCCTTTTCTTTTATCATCAGAATCTGATGTAAATTAAGGATAAAATAACTTATTAGTAAAAAATTAATAATTAAAATTTTCAATTGATTAAAATACCTTATAATTTACCTTTATTATTAAGGCTCCGAACAAATCAATGAAATTCGATTCGAATCTATAGCAATCATTATCATTCATTAGTATTAGTTATACTCATTATTTAGATTTAATGAATTTATTAATGAAATGTGCAAAATTGTATTGTTTTTTATTCGTCATTACGGAGTCTATACAGGTTCCGTATTCCGTACATCTACGCCTCTGTAGCAAATAATGTTCTATATGGAATAAAAATATGGAATCAAAGATTGTACAGAATTAAAATAAAAAATAAAAAATATACGGAACAAAAAAAAATAGTGTACGGAATCTCTACTGACTGATCATTACGTTATCATTATTATTGTCGATATTATTTGGTGATGGTGGGCTGAAATTAATTGGCCTAAACTTGAGCAAAACTAATTTTAATAATAGCTGAAATTGAGCGAAATTATTTAAAGATATTATATAAAAATATTGGGCGAAACTACCTTTTTTCAAAATAGTTTCACCAAATAATATCCTTTATCAATTAAATTCAATATAGTTTTTAGGCAATTATAAATTAGAAATTTTTTTCTAAAATCCGTTAAGATCAAAGAAATAGGTTGTATTGAGAAGGATTTTATTATCATTCTTGGACCGTGTAATATTAAATTATCAAATTAAAATATAAATTTTAAAATTTTTAGGAATTTGGCTTGATTCAAATCGATTCATTCGGAGTCTTATTTATCATCCAATTAATAGCAAAACTATTATTATCTTTTGATGCTATTGGTTTGAAAATATCATAACAGTCTGCTACTGAGTCCAATGAGTCCAATAAGCCAATAACCTAGTGAGATGAGTGTGATGAGATTAATGATTCGAAATAAAATAAATTCGGCAGGGAAAATGTGTACAGTACTGAAGACAAGTAAGTAAGTATCGTACATATTGAAAAAAAAATTCAAGTTCAACATAGCAATTCATATTCCCAACATCCTAGCACAGTACTATATATATAATATAAGGTGAGTGTATTAAAAGGTACGGTACGCATTTCTACATACCATACACAGTTAGTTGCCCATGTCAATATTAACATATAAAATACAACATTTGGAACATTGTCATCTGTCTTTTTTTAAAGAAATTAATATATTAATTTTCAAACCCGATTCGGTTGTAAAAAAAAGGCTTTTGCCAATAAAAAATTAATTGATATTTTAGCACAGCGCTAATAGAATACATATTAGGGATTCTACTCGAACAAGAAATTGCATTATGACCAATGTTTATCTTAACTAGACTATATATGGTTTATTACATTGGCGTGCATTTCTTTACGCGCATTTAAAAAAACCAAAAAGTTCATTTGGCCTTTTTTGTCGTTGAGGCGAAAAGAGTCTTTTTAGCTTAAAAAAGATAATAAACCTTTGGAATACATTGATAAATTTTCTTCGAAATCAATAGAAAAACCCTTTTATTTTATCAGTTCATGTGGTTCATATTATTAATATATTGAACATAAATTGTTTGTAATTTATTAATTATTTATTATAAAAAAAATGTAGCTTTAGGGAGGTGAATTACGCAAAAATTAGGTTAAAATCGTCTTATGATTTCTACAATAAAGAAAAAAAAACAAAATTTACGAAAAAGGTTTATTAATTACAAGGTTATATATAAATAATATAAATTTAAATATATAAATTTATATTATATTAATTAAATTATTAAGTATATATTATTAAAAAAATAAAAAAATATCTATATTTATAATACATAAAAAATAAATATGAATAATAATATATATTATTATTATTTAACATATTCATAAAATCTATAATCTTAAAGCTATTTTTAAAAAATCTTAAAAATTTCTTAAAACTCATAAACTATTAATAATACACATATTATATATATGATGCTTAATCTCCTTTTTTTCCCGTAAAAAAGAAAATAAATCTTAATTTTTTATTTAATAGACAATGCGATTGTTAGGTGACAAAGGCGGAGTAGTTGATGAATTAAGCGTTGTCTGTGGACTACTACGATGATTGACATCATCGTTAAAACCACTGTTATGTTTATTACAGTATGATAAATTGTTATTTACCAAGTGATGAATATTTGGAGAATTGTTTGAACTTGGTGAGGACAAAGGTGGTGAAGGAATATTGTATGGTGATGATGTTGTTGTTGTTGTTGATGATGATGATGACAATTCCACATTGGGGTAATCATCATCTCCATTGTCAACATTATTATCATCGCCATTATCAATGATTTTGTTTGCGATATTTTCTCTCTCGCTGTTGGTAGATTTAACATCAAAATTTAAAGGAGTCAAAATAATTGGTCCTGATGATCTACCGTCATCGTTATTGCCATTATAATAACCAACGTTATTTCTCATAAAACTCCTATCATGAAGATTGATTGATTTTTTATTGTCCAAAGGATTGGAAAAATCTGGCAATGGTGATGGTAATAAGACCTCAAAACCATTTGAGGTAGAAATTGACATCGAATCGGATTTAATGAATGACGAAGTTTCACGCGTATTTTTTGGTTCCGGTAATATTCGGTGATCCGCGTTATAAAAATCCACGAATGCATTGTTGGCAACGATTGAACGTTGTTGTTGTTGTTGTTGTTGTTGTTGTTGTTGTTGTTGTTGTTGTTGTTGTGGAAGTTGTGATGGAAACGATTGGCGGTGTTGATGTTGATTACGATGGTGGTGATGAGAATGATGATCGATGATTGATGGCAATGCCTGGTAGGTTGGTTTAGGTCTAATCAACAAGGGAGGATATTGTAGAGATTGTGGAGGCATTGTTGAAGCGTAATATCCATTATTATTACTATTATTATTATTATTATTATTATTATTACCATATTTCAATAATGGTACTGATTGATAATCTATTATTAATGTTATCATTAATTAATGAAATTAAAGAATTAGCATTATTTATTTTTGCAAACATCTAATAAAAGAAACAACCAATCAGATATTTACCATCTCTTTTAGAGGTTTCAACAATATGTAGGTTCACTTCATCAAGATGATTTATATTTTCATTATTATTAGGAGGACTAGACGAGATCCTCTTACGTTGAATAAAATCATCATCGTGATGATTATTACTATTATTCGCTAACATCTGTTCGATCTTATTACGTAAATTAGGATCTCTTTTCAAAATTTGAATTCGACGAGCAGGGCTATTGATCACTTCAACATTTCCATTACGGGGACCTCTTTTTTTAGCAGTTCCGGTAAATATACAATTACTCTGTGTTCTGCAGCAATTTGTGCATGGAGCTGATCCGGTACATTTGATTTTTTTTTTTTGGCATGCTTGACATGCAACCGTAACTTTTGTTCGATTCATCATTTCAAGATTATTATTATATTATATTAGATCTATGTAAGTATGGTATGTGTATATGTATATGTATAGTATATTATATATATAATTAAGAAGAGATAAAAAGATTTAAAAGGAAAATTAAGAAAAAAAAGTTGATGGAGAATTGATTATATATATATATATATATATATATTTATATATATTTATATACATATGTGTGTGTGTAATATCTAAATATATATTATCATATATAAATATATATGCTTTGTAAATAGTTATGTATGTAATAGAAGGAAAAGAAATGGAACTTGTAGGAAAATATTAATTTGAGAATATTAGTTATGAATAAATAAAAATATATATATATATATATGATAATAATAATAATTAATAAAAAAGGATCAAAAGAAATGTGAAAAAAATCAAAAAAAAATCAAATCAAATATATTATTTATTTATAAAGAAAAATTTTATTTTTTTATTTGTTTTTTTATTTTTTTTTTTTATGCGAATTAAAAAAATTGCTTTTATATAATTTTTTTTCGAGCGTTAATGTTGATAACACAAATGACACAAATTAGTAAAAAGACAAATAATAATTTTAAAGTATAAAAAATTAATAAAAAGGTTCCTTTTTTTCTTTCTTTTTCAAATTTTCAAAATTTTCAATTTTTCATGTTTTTTTTTTTAATTAATTAATAAAACTAGAAAAAATGAACCTGAAAATCAATTGAACTGACCAATTAATCATCTCCATAAAAATACCTTCAAAAAATAGTCAATAATCAAATCATCATATAGTATTTAAATGATGGTTTAGATGATAGATTAACTAAAATAGTTTAAATACTCCTCCTAATTAAAACTTGTGATTGACCATAAACTATCGATTATCGATTAGTTCACTTTAGACTTAAATTAGAACGTAAGTTAAGCTTTATTTATTTATTTATTACCCTGTGTAGTAAATAGTTTAAATAATGATATCATGAAATGTTACTATCACAATCTCTTGGAACCAATATTTAAATAAATGTTTTATGTGATGCAAAAAAATAATGTTCCGACTAAATTTTTCAATTTTAAATTAATTAAAACCATGGTAAATTAAAGTTTATATTTTTCCCGGGATAAACAACAACCTTAATCAATGATTTCTAATTGGTTTAAAAAAAGACTTTATTGATCAAATACAAATAAATATAAATAAAAACCAATGATTTTTGACAAATTTTAATTAATAAATAAATATTTACTATTCCTATTGATTTTTTATTATTATTTATTTATTTATTTATTTATTATTATTATTATTTATTATTGATTTGATTTATTTTTTCGTAAAACATTATTTTAGAAATTAATTAATCAATTTAAAAGGTTTAAAAGTCTTTTTTAAAATTTCAAATTTAAATGTTTTTTTTGAATTATGATCCATATTAAGTAGTATTATGCAAATATGCATGCGTGGGCATAATTTACAACATTATCAAATACTTCACGTTTATGATGTATCTAAGATTCTTTTGATTTTGATATTCTGTGTTGTTTTATAAATAAATAATAGTGATGGGTCGTCGAAATTATTATGAAAACAACAGTAAATAATTCTGCAAAACCATCAATTTCCGTTCGGAGTCTTAAATTAATGTTGATGATTCATGATGATCTAATTGGTTCTATTAAAATAGAATAATTTCAAAAAGATGATTTTTTATTAATTTTAAATTTTTTTAATTTGTTTGTACGACCTATGAAAAAAAATTTTCGGCTCTTTTTGTTTTTGTTTTTGTTTTCGTTTTTAAGCTTTTTTTTTTTGTTTCTCAATAATGAATCAATTCATTTTTAAAAAGAAACCATAACATCGAATCGAGAACAATCTTTTGATTTTCTCATTTTTGAATGACGATTTTTTCAAAAGGCTTTTTTTCTTGCATTTATGAAGATAATTTTTTATATTCAAAAAAGGAATATCCGGGTAATTATTTGATTAGCAGAGAGAAGGGAAACTCATCAAATTAAATAATAGAAATAGAAATTTGGCAAATAAATTATTTATTATTAATAATAACAATAATACAAAAAAGGAAAAATGAATGATTATAACGAATTTGGATTTGGCCGGTAAAATCTTTTCCAATATTGATTTCTTGGTAAGATCCCGATTTTCTTTTTAATATTAAATGAATGATATAATGATAAATAGTGATGATGATGATGATGATAATGATGATGATAATGATGATAATTCAGCCTAATTTATCATCCCGATGTGTGACATTAAAAATTTTGTCAATTATTTTATTTTGACTTTTTTTTTTCTTGTTATTTGTCCTAAACCAGTTTATATTCTTGAATCCAAGATCGCGGATCTCATTGTATATATGTGCGCAAAATTTTTATATTGTATCGGTAAAATATTTGGATGTCAAACGATACACCAAGACTATTTATATTTAAATTCTGGTCGGTCGCAATCAAAAACCGATCCTTGGCGGTTTAATAGGTTTAGGAAACCATTTTTCAGAAGTTGGTCGATCAGTAGTTTATTTAATAATGGCTTACAAAACAGCTTACATAAAAGTCCAAGTCCAAATCACAGTTTTTATTTTAAAACTGTATAAAATCGTCATAACCTAATTCTTAAATCTTAATTATATTATGTATTACGGTCAAGGTTGCAGTTTTTAATTAAACTCAATTTTTCTATCTGTTAATTACATTTTTAAACTTTATAAATTTCTTTTATTTATTTTCAATAATGATTAATTTAATGAAAACCAATTAAATAATTGATTAAAATTGAATCTTATTTAATGTTTGAAATTTAAAATATATTTTTTTTTCGTTATTTGCTAAACAACATGTAATAGTAATATTGCTAATTATTAATATTAATTAATCACGGAAAAATTACCTATTGTATTAGTATGGAAAAACGTATGATCAATAGATATTAAAATATGTTGTATAAATTTTCATATCAACCCTTTCCTCTTTATCCAGTACCCGACGCTTTCACCGATATCTCTCTTTCTTCCTTTGTTCTTTGTCTTTGCTTTTATATTTTTCTTTGAACTTTTCCATTCTAACCCAAGTAATCCGGGCTTTCTTAAAATGGAAAACAAAGATACTAAACTAATTAACACCATCACCAATATTAAATACCAATGCCCAATACCAATACCAATACTTTGTTATGCTACTAATCACGATTCATTCATAATAATAAAAAAAGGAAAACAAATAAACAAAGGCAAAATTAAATTAAATTAAATTAAATTAAATTAAATAGTCTTCATGAACACTAAAAAAACATGAAATTTAAATTTTTTAGACTTCCATTTTATTTATTATTATTATTATTATTATTTATTATTATTATTATTATTATTATTATTATTATTATTATTATTATTATTATTATTATTTATTTATTTATTATTTATCTAGTCACTACCAAGACATATCAAAAAAGAATGAACGATAATAATGGGAGATGATACGACGGGAAGGTGTGGAAGGGTGATAGAGAGCGAGGGGAGGAAGTACGTGCATTTGTGTAAAGAGCAAAAAAAAGTATCGTTTGATTGAAATTATTGGTAATGATTAATCAAACAATATTTTTGTGCTTGAGAAAAAATAAAACAAATATTTACATTATCCATTCGTTTTAATTAAATTATATAAATGAATATAAAAAGAAAGCACCAGACTTTAACTTTAATTTTTACTTTCTTTCACATTGTCACACTTTAACTATTCCATCCGGTACCGTTCACGACCGACTCGGAGTTGCCTCCATTATATTATTATTATTTAAATTAATGTTATGTTTTTTAAATACAAATATATTCTAAAATAATTATTGTGTGTTCTCTTTATTGGGTAATTAATTGAAAAAAACAAAAATATAAATAAATAAATAATGTAATTTTCAATTCGTCTTCGCTTCGGTTTTTTACCGAACCACCGAAAAAAAATCTTTTTTCCTATGCGCAGATCTTTACGTATTTGCAAGTACTTACCCACATCACTTATGCATTTTATCTATTACTATTATTATAATAATAATCATGATGATGACGATTATGATAATGTAAAATTAAATTAAATTTCTTTTCGATTCAATTAATCGGTGACTACATATTTTTTAAACTATTACAGTGCATACCATCATCGTCATCATCATTGAAATAAAATATTTGAATTTTATTATTTACACAAAAAAACTTTGTGTACCATGTATGACTTTTATGTTGATTAATTTGTGTAAGAAGACAACCATTCGATATATACTTGTTTGTAATAATTAAAATCATTTAATTAATAATATTAATATTATTATTATTATCTTTAGTGCTGCCGCAAAGACGGATGAAATTTTTCACGTAAAACTTTTAACGAAATATTTTATGATGCTTGCTGTTTCATCAATTTCATCTTGGATAATAGCTCAATTTCCACATTTTTATCGTTAAACAAAAAGCTAAAGGTGTATATATGGACGAGTCATGTGAACCAACAGAATACACTTTATGGTAATTGGGATATAAACGCAGCCACATTATTTGCTGTGTCAATTTCCAATATACCTTTTTGGTAACTTGGACAGGAAATTTAAGATGTGTATATATATATATAGTCATGATTAACAAAATGTAAATAATAATAATTACACAAGGATATATTAATATATATTTGGTCCTCTGGAAATCAAAATTTTTTAGCTCTCTCGCTCATATTATGAGATGAAAACATACAAAGTTTTTCCATTAAAAGTTCACAATATCAAAGATTTAAGTAGCGGAACTATAATTCCTACTATGGTGCAGGAACCAAATTTCAAAATATAAAAAGTCTGATTCGTTCAAAAAAAACGCAAGATAAAATCATGTGACCTGTTTATTTAGTAACATTATTAACAATATTTGGATGTATGGTTTGGTTATTATATTTAGATAACAATAATTTTTTTATTATGCTAAATTTTTGCTATACAAGACCAAATCTAGAAATAAATTATCAGGAATTTATTTGTCCGCGAAAATCTTGATTTGATATTAATAATACACCAAAAAGGAATAACCAATCAATATTTTTTAAAAAAATCTTTGTCACGATAAAGTTTAAGCCCCGATCTATAAATCCGTTGTCTAAAAGGTGGGACAGAAAGTGACTTATCTTCAAAAATAGTGGTTCAAGGGGTTTCCGCCCTTATACCACTAGCATCAAATGATCAAAACAATTAAATATTTAAATATTTATAATATTTATTAATACTTTGCTAAATGATCTTGATATTTGTCTTCTGACGAACTTTTTAATAATAATAATAATAACAGTATTAATTAATTAATACCAGATTCTAGTAACAGCAAGGATTGCAACTGAAAAATCGTTGGGATTGGTGTATTGGGTTGTATTGTTTATTATTAACATTCATTCAGTAAAGAAAAAATACATTTATCTTCTAAAACACATTTATTCAAGAATAAAAAACCACGAAACATTTACAAAGTTTGCTCTTCTCTATTATTTCTCTGAAAAACTTCTTTTAAAATTATCATTTCCGGACAGAATCTGATGTTAACAATAATCGTCTTTCAAATTCATTAAAATATTTGTTATACACCACATGCGGCAAATAACTAGCTCGTCCTGTTTGCTCCGTTGGAAACTAAACCTAAAGAATGAAGATGTTGTGAACACATGTTTAATGGAGGAGTTGAGTTGACAAACGAAACTGCGTGAGTACTCGAAGCTCATATTATTATACTAAATTTTATATCGGCTAGTTTCTTCATCTTCATAATGTGATGACGAACTATATTAATGTTAGTATTAAAAGTGAAAACTTGAATTATTGTCAATCTCCGATCTTTCCCAAGTAAACTGTTGTTTATTATCCATATTTGCAGACCCGCATCATGTGGTAATAAAAATACTGCCGGTAATCGTTCAATAAACGATCAAATGAAGAAACGGATAAAACATTCGATAAAAATTAGTGTTGGTCGCCAAAACTATTTTGAAGAGGTGAAAGTCAAAACTAAAATTAAAAGTTATACGTCAAAACTAAATCAAAAGTCAATAGCCAAAAATCAAAACTAGTTTCGACTTATGGCGAAACCTTTTGACTTTCGCACGGTTGCAAAACTCTCGAGTTTTGGAAACCAACACTAATACAAATAGCAATAAATTTGTTGGCTATATGGGCCTTTTAAATAGAAACGAGAACAAGTCAAATCCTGATTTAATTCTACGAAAACGATAGAGTGTTGAAATGATTGATAAAGTTGACAAAATTAGCGAGGCTGTTGAAATAAACCTTCCCTCTACCAGTTTATACTGTATATTCATCTTTTTTTAATACGTTTCTGTTATAATAAAAACAAAGCTTACGAATATAATGACATTCACTATATATCCAGTATAACGACATAATCTGTCAAAGAATTTTTGATAATTATAGAATTTACTCCATCACAATGACATTCATGTCAGTATTGCTGTATTAAAAGTTATACGTCAAAACTAAAAGTAAAAAGTCAAGACTAGTTTGGACTTTTGCACAGTTGTAAAATTTTTGGAAGCCAACACTAATGTTAACCCTATAAAAATGAATGCAGAGGAAAAAACTATGATATTTTTTTGTTTTACGTATGGAAAATTGCAGATAAGGAAAAACTATTTTCCTTGCATTTTGTGTATTCACATTTCATTCATATGTATTATTTGTTTATAAGGTATAAGTGAAGAGATAAACTTTTATTAGATAAATTTTTCATCAATAAATTACATGAAATCAAATTCCCAAAGTCGAAGCATTTCAATTTGAGACATAGTAAAAATCAATTTTGACCTTATTTCGGGGAGACCTTATTATTATTATTATGATTATTATTATTATTATTATGATTATTATTATTATTATTATTATTATTATTATTATTATTATTATTATTATTATTATTATTATCGGGGTTTTCCGATAATGGTAAATATTTTTTATATTTCCGATGATCATTTTACATTTATTATTATATATTAGAGTTGATGGTGGTCTTAAATTTAATGCATTCTTCACAAATTTCGGTTGGTGTTAGTGGAGATTCTGTACGCTATTCTTTTTCGCATACTCAAAATTTGATTGTTTGAACATTACAACTTTTTTACGTATAGATCATTATTTAGTACGGAGGCACAGATGTACGGAATACGGTTTAATATAGCAGAGCTGGAAATAGACTAGGTAGGTCCATTGAATTTCGGTATGGCTCGTTGCTATTCATAAAATACCAAATATGGTTATTATGTTACATATTTTTATTCACCAACAGAATCAATATCCACATATTAATAGAACCAGCAAAACTTGAGGGTGAACATGATGGTAATCGTGTTTCAATATACATATGTAAATTCGATAAGTCGGCCAAAATTTTCACCCTATTTTCTTAATATTTAAGCAATTTAATTCGATAAGTCGGTTTACTCGATAAGTCGGCCATATGAGCTCACCCACATGACCGACTTATCGAGTTTACATATGTAGTGAGTATTTAAACAAATACGAGACATACGCAATGATTCTCATTCGTCTGTCAGGCTAATTTGAAATTCCGATTATCTTAAAATTCTGTTACAAGGTCTAATTAAAATTGAGAAAAAAATTATTTATTAATTTTTCATGTACAATAAACTTCAATTTTTAAACTTTTAAAGTAATGTTCCACCATGTCACCCAAATGCAGCGACCTTCTGATTCCTTTAAACTATTTATTTATTACAACGGTGGTTGCCATGGACGCAAATAAATGATGAAAATCATTTAAACCATATTGGTATAATTTCGCAATAGTTAAATTGTTATATAGATATTTCAGAAGGTATAAATCAAAAATTATTGATTAATTAATGACTAAGATTGTTTTATTTTGTGCAATTAGTTTTAAGTGATTGGTTATTGATAAATATTAATGAAAAACATCTGACAAAGTCATGCCACCTTATATAACATCACGTAAATTTGTGAATAATATTTTAATATTTAAAAGAATGTTAAAATTTGAAGAAATACTTTTTCAAGTATATCCTAATATTTTTTCTCCGTGGATGATGATAGGTATGTGCAATTATCAAACATAATTTTTCGTTATTAGTGAAAAAAAATATCCCAAGTTGAATTACTTATTATATAAATTGGTATAATTTAACATTACAATAAGTTACATCAATTTTAACTTTGATTGTTTCTTCAAACAAAATAGATTGTAATTAATATAATTATACAACTGGGATTGGTTCGATTATGCCCAACAAGTTACTATTACACGACGACGAATAGACAGTGAATAGCATCTAGAATTAATACGCATTTGGTAATTTATTTAAAAAAGTTTCACTACATAATTATATGAAATAACTTTAATTGCATATGACCATTATTTCAAATTCTTAGATGTCATTAACAACGTTTAGGATTTTCACGAAGTGAATCTATCCAAATTACTGCAGTACAACACGGAATTATTGATTTTTATTATTATGTCACGCGAATTCATATATCTTTATTAGAATTACTATATTTACTATTTATTTATATTAATATCTTTACTACATATCCACCACTGATTTGCACAACATTTTGGGATACAAAATTCTGGGCAAACAAACAAAATATATACTTGATCAAATGGTAAAGAAGATCAATTTCCCAGATAAAATACTGATTGATTTTCAATATTTGTTGAGTTTCTACTTGTGAATTGGTTGGTATTATGGAATGCTGTAAATCACAAGATTTTGGGGTGGGTAGTACGTAATAGTAGAGAATCTCTCGATTCACAATTATCAATTTTTAAAGGTAGGGGGAATCACGTGCCAAATTATATATTAGAACCGGCTCAAAAATCCAAATTTATGCATATTACATAGATAAGTTACGCGAAACGCGTTTAAACATCTTCAAAATTTGTTGCATGTAAATACAAAACCCCTTTAATTTTTTGGAAAATTTCAAACAAAATTAATTAGTAAAGATTTATAATATTCTTAAAATTCTTCAAAAAAAGTTGCCAATCCCATAGTAACTGGTGCCAATCCCATAACCAAAGTATACAACGTATAGTAAAAATTACTATTTTAATTAATTTAAAGCAAATTTTTTACCAGCTTAATGATAGCTTCTTATTGTTTAGTAAAACTATCTTATTAATAAAATATTTTTTATATTTAGCATTTGAAAATGAAAAATTGGTATAAATCATTAACAGAAAATAATATTAATTATAAATTATTTTATTGAAAAGATCAAAGTATTTTTGTTCATAATGATTCATATCAACTGAACACCATGGAAGCATATCAAGATTTATATAGCTCATATATCTTGTAGTGGGCTTTTTAGGTACACAAAGGGTGCATTTTTGGTTAATTCTAGTCATTCTTTTGTTTTCAATCTTTTTTACCTTATTCCTGGTAACCTTATAAATGTATACATAGATCACAATTTTTTAACCAAAAATACACCATTTTAACTAAAATATTTGCCATCTTATTTGATTACTAAAATGTTTTCTGACATGGAGGAGCATAGCGACTCCAGATGTGAAGCATAGCGGAGCATAGTTATCTATTTGATTTCCAAAAAGTTTTCTATCACTGTGAACATGAACCTTTAGGTGAATGAGAAACAGTCTGCGAGGTGTAGTGGAGCATAGTTTTCTTATTTTGGTTGCTAAAATGTTTTCTGTTTCAGTAGAGTAAAGCGAGTTAGATAATAAAATATAGTTATTTTTTTTAGGTACATGCTTGGTGATTTTCGGTTAACCTTAGTCTATTTCTATAGATTTTTAAGCTTTTATCTTATTCCTGATAACTTTCATAAAAACATATAAAAAATAAATTAGCCAGAGGCTGGTGAATGCCTTAATTACATTTCTGATATATTTCTTGGCATGAGCTTTGTTCTAAAGCTTTTTCACAAAGTCTTTGATGATAAGATGCAACATAATATCCTCTTTTATGAATTTTGCATCATCCACAAGCAGAAGCAGTTGGTTTTCCACAATCAGTACAAAGTATACATTTTTTTGACTTATAATGAAGACAACATCCCTCAGGACGTGTACACAAAGCATTACAAATTTTACCCAAATTATGTATATATTGGCAGGCATATTCACCGATCATATTTGATTAGGATAAATAATTAATTAAAATAAAGATTTTATAAAAGTAATATATAATACTTTTTATACACAATGGTTAAAAATACAACTTGTGATAGATGTGGTTTAAAACTATCTACTTATCAAAAGTATTAACAACAACATTTAAATAGAGTAAATCCCTGTTGACCTAAAAATCCCCCTCAAGCTCAAACAGAAAATGCTACACCAGAGCAAAATGCACCTCAAGTAGGAAATGCTATACCGGAGCAAAATCAAGTCCCAGTACCAATTCCAGAAGGCAATCTCATATCATTTGACGAAAACCCACCAATGCACCAGCCAAGAGAGGCAAGAGAACTGGCAGTTGACCCAGAGATAGGACCTAGTACAAAGCGAAACAAAACTATCCTGATCTATAAAAATATACCAAATGGAATCGAGTTTTATGATAAAAAAAGAAAATGGTATGGAGTTAAAGAAGATTTTCATACATTATCTAACAAGTATTATTTTATTAAAGCAGATAATAGTGAAACCATTGTAGAAGCATATAAAAGAATTAATGAAGAATCAGAAGCTATAGCAGAAAAAACAAATGGACAGGTTGATATGTGGAAATCTGGAAGTTATACTTTGACAAGTTTAAAACTTTTTCAAGAAACAACTTTAGCACTGAACAGAAGTGGAAAAATCGATGAGAAAGAAAATGTATGGTTAAATTTAGCAACAATTGGTGTTTTAGTATTTGCAGAGAAATATGAAGGAGAAGCTATTCAATATGACATAAATTCAATGTATATATATGAAATGTTAAAGAAAGAAGCATCATGGCCAATTGCTATAGGTAAGTTTCATACTATAGACATATCTTTAGTGGAAAAATGGAATAAATTTCCATATGGAATTTTTAAAGCAACAATAGAAGGAAATCCTCCGAAGAAAAGCTTGCAATGCACTAGATATTTACAATATAATCCACATGGAATTTATACACATTTTGATTTAGAGTGTGCCAAAAGAAATGGTTTAAAAATATATTTATTAGATGAATCACCAAATGCACTTATATACAAAAAAAATACCTGTATTAGTGGAAGTGATATGTTCGGTAAATGGGGAAATATATTATACAACATTAAAAAAGAAGGCAGAACAGCTGGAAAAGTAAGTAAAGCATTATTAGTTTCATTATGGGGTGTCCTATGTGAGCAAAGAAATGGACAAAATTATGGTTTACATCCACGAATAAAACCATTCTTATTAGCATCTGCACGAAAAAGAATATCAGAAATTGTGAAGCCACTAGGAGATCAAGTAAAATGTATACATACAGATGGCTTTATTATAGCTGGAAAAGTAGAACTTAAAACAGGAATAGAAATGGGTGAGCTAAAATTCGAGAAAAGAGGAGTTTGTGAAGTAAAAAATTGTATATCAGTTACATGGAAACCATCATATCCAGAAATTCCAAATTTGACTATTTTCGAAGAAAAAGAGCTTTGCACTACAAATAGTTTATTAGATTTTGGAAAAATACAAGATAAAGAGCAGAATACAAAGTTAGATAGAGAGTATCCTGTTTCACAGACAGTAAAAAGGAAACCACTAAAAAGGTCTGATATAAATCTTCCAAATGAAATTATAATAGAAATATTTCAACATTTACGAACACAAAATGATATGTTATGTACTAATAATGAATTATTATCATCAGTTTTATATGTTAATGAACAATGGAATGAATGTGCAACATATTTAATATGGAGAAGAATTACATTATATAGATACAATATTATAAAATTTGTAGAATTGGTAAAAAAGAAACCATTACCGAATGAATTTCTATTAGAAGACATTGTAGGTATAAGCCAAGATATAATAACTATATCATTTAAGGATTGTGGTTGGGGATTTCTTAACAATAGTTCACTAAAAATGACATTGGATACATGCAAGAATCTAAAGCATATATTTATCTATGGAAGTAATAGAATAGCACCAAAAACTATCATAAGTATACCAGAAAAATGTACAAGTATAAGAACTATAAAAATACAAAATTGCAAACGAATAACAGATAAAATAATAATTCAATTAGTGAGCAAATATCCGAAAATTGAGATTAATAAATTATCCAAAAAGAACAATCTATACTAGTAGAAGTTGACTTACAAAGTGAAGATGATATAGCATCTCAAATTGTAGAAGATATATTCGATGAAGACTAGTTTATGGTAATAGATGAGTAAGGTATAACAGTTAACAAGAAATGATATTTTTTTATTAAATAATAAAACTCGTATTAAATAAAACTTATATTATATATAAAACAAAATACAAAGTAAGTATAAACCAAGTATGACAGACAATAGTTCAAGTTTAATAAATGAGCAGGACCCAGAGTTAACAATGCAGGAAGCTATTACATGGAAAATGATTGAATCAGCACAAATTAAAATAATAAAAGAAGCCTTTCGTCTTCGATATAGAAAAGATAGTAAGCTTATTAGTGAATATGCTGGATATGTAAAAAATTTGCGTAATGCTGAAAACCAAGATGAGTATATAAAATATACAGCTATAACACTATTTCCAAATGAAGAAGCATATAATAAAAGAATGTCGAGATATAGAAAATGGTATCAAGGTAAAAAGGAGCTACTTACCAGTGTAGAAGAATTATATAATCTTTATTATAAGCTATCCAAAAAAGATAGGCCTATGACTGAAACAGAAATTGATGAAGCTGTTGAAGACATACTTATAGACGAGTAGAGTGGAGCTCATTGTTTAAGAATCCATTTCGGAGGATATTCTATATTATTATTTACTAATAATAATTGTTCTCTAACAAATGATCTCTCGGGACCATCCCCATTTTCATCCATAAGCCAGTATAATACCGGTTGATTTTTTTGTATTAGTGATTCCTTAATACAATAAACTTTAGTAGACCAATTCATATCAGTTATGCGTCTTTTGCCAAATTCTAATTCTCCAGGTTCGAGTAAATATAAAACAGAATCTTTATAGCTTAATCGAGGTTCATCAAACCCAATAGGTCTTCGATGTTTTACAGATGGATCAGCAATTATTTTTTCACCTTTCAAAGCTCTCTTTACAGCTTCATTAGGTGACATATGAATTAATCGGGTTGGGGTATTATTAAAAGTATCATCATTAATATGAAGACCTTTAACCCATGCTCTAGACCTATCAGACAAAGGTAAATGAAAATCTATGGCATCTTGACAAATGAAAGCATGTTTTTCAAATTCTTGATGATTGCGCTCCCCTATAGCATTGCTTTCTTTGGATTTTTTGGGATCGAAATATACACCATGGCTTAATAATAAATTTTTACACTCAGCTAAATACTCAGTACCTTTATCAGTTCTAAAAACATTAGGCCAAGAAAGAGGATTATTAGGATCTTCATAATTTTTTTTAATTGCTTTAGCAACTGTAGAAGCTGATTTATTAGTTAATGCACAGCTTTTTCGATATCTAGTTGCCACATCTTTTATTACAAGTCTATATTTAAAAACTCGATTACCAATTTTATCATGAGGCATAGGAGTAAGATCGGATTGATGCATTTCGTTTAAATTTTGAATTCCATTAAAAGATGCATACTGAATAAAACGTGGTCAAGCTTTATGAACCAAAAAAGTTATCTGTTTATTTAACCAATTTTTTATATCTGTTAGTGAAAAATTATAACCAGCCTTTTTACAAGCATTATGCATTTTTTCAACAGTTCGATAGTACCCTTCAGGTCGGTAATATAATTTTTGTAATGCAATTTCACGATCAAGATCATGAGCTCTTTGTGAGTCAATATAAATTACAGGTTCAATCATAACTTTTATTACTATAGTGAATAAAAAACATGGATGAATTATTGCAGAGCAGGCCGTTAGGCGATTCTTCGAATCATGACCTAAAGGGTCAACGCCAAGCTAATCAAGAACTTCACGATGAAATCGATCAATTGACTCAATCAAACAGAGACTATGAATGCCGAACATACAATCTTGAACGGGATATAGTTTTACGTGAGGAAAGAATTCGATATCTCGAGGAGGAGTTAGCAAATACAATCGAACTTTCAATACAAGAAAGGGAGGAATTGGAAAAAGAGACATCAGACCTAAAAAAAATCGTTTATCATCTTAAAAAGGAGATCGAACAAAAAGATAAGGAACTTATTACCAGGGAAAATCAATTAGCTGAATTTGATGTCAGAGAAAAAAAACTCAAAACCCGAATTCGAGAAATATCAAAATCTGCAGGTAATACTCCTAAAGCATACAACCAAACGGCAAAGTTAATAGATGAGAATGAACGTCTCAAACGTGAAATCGATACTTTAAAATATAATCTTAAAGATCGCGACAATAAATTAGCTCAGAAAAAAACTCGTATTATAGATTTACATTGTCAAAACTTTGCATTAGCATTATTAAGATACAGAGATAGAGTAGAACTTATAAATACTCAAGAAACTTTACAAAATGCTCAGATATGGAATATAGAAAATGAATATGAAATAGACGAAAATTCACAGGATAGTTATACATCTGATCCAGATATGACAACAATAATTGAGTTGGCTGATACTATTGATAATTATTTGGATACCCCTGGAACAAATAGAACAATTTTATCCAATCAAATAAAAAGAGTAACACGACAGATACGTCGCAAATACAACAATCTTCAAACAGATCTTATAAATGAGCAACAACGAAGATATAATGCTGAAGCAGAACGAGACCTACGTCAAACAGCATTAAGAAATACAGAAGCTGATCTTAATTTAATGACTATTGCATATAATGGTGAAGTAAAAGAACGACGTCGCTGGTACTATTCCTATAAAGATAAACATAGACATGTTATAAATTTACAACGGGATAAATTTACTATACATTTATTGTTACAACGATACAAAAGGCAGTTAAATGCATGTCGTACTGAAAATGGATTATTAGAATATAACCGTGACCGAATTTTTGATAGGTATGAAAAATGGAAAAATAAAACAAAAGATGAACGACAAATAATTTTAAATGTACAGGGACAAATTTTATTGCTACAAAATAACCCACAAAATATGGCAGAAGGTAGACGACGACCAGTATTAAAATTAATATATCAATCTTTTCAACCAATTCCACAATATATAGGCCAAATGCCTCCTGATGATTATGTAAATACATTAGAACAAGCATGGTCTATTGCAGTACCTCAGATGACTGCTCTTGAAACTGCAAATGCTGGAGATTTTGATGATGCCATTAAATGTAATGTTTTAAAAAGCAAAATAGGTGGTAAGTTTGCTCCAGTACCAGCTAATGACCCCTTTACTCACAATAATCCTGCTATAAATACACCTGCTACATTACGAGCTTATTTAAATGCCAAATATCAAAGAGAAACAATAGGTAGCCAACATTATGCAATTCAAAGATTGACTCAAGAAAGATATCAGCCTTATGATACACCCGATACTTATGAAGCTAGAATTCGACTACTAACAATAGGAGTAGCGAACGATGATGCACAAGTTTTAGGTTTTCTTAAAAATCATTTACCAGGTGAGCTTTATACATGGATGAAAATTGCTGATCCAGGTGGTATTAGTGAATTTTTCACTGAATTAAAAAATATGTGGCTAGAATGTACTCCAAATTTGAATGAAGGTAACGTTTATCAACAATCTTCCTATAACTCTAAAATAATAGAAGCTCCAGTAATTTCGCAATCACCTGATATACAAAAAATGATTAACGAGACATTAGAAAAACAGAAATCTTCCTATATTGAGGCATTAGAAAAACAGAAATCTGATTCTGATGCTGTGATAGAAAAATTAAGAAAGGAAGTTCAATCCCAAAAAGCACAGAAAACTCAGGCACCAGTTGAACCAGTTAGACAACCAAGAGGTCCCCCATCAAATTTAAAAACGGAAAAAGATTATGAAAATTATTATTTAGCGAAATACTATAACGATTTAGGTATATATGATTTAGATTCAAATTATCCTGAAAAACCTTTTCAAAGAACAAACCAATCCGCTAGAATGGATAGAATAGAATCAAAAGTGGACGAAATTGGACAAATGACATCTCAATTCGGAAAAATGGTACTTGAAAATCAATCCAAAAAACCGATAGCCAAATCAAATCGAACACAACGATATTATCCTTTTCAACCAATAAATTATAACTTTTCAGCTAATAATGAAAATAGTGGATATAATGAAGAAAATGATATATGGTATGGAGATGATTCTGAAAAAAAAAACGAGTACCAGTAAATAAAAACTTACCTAGTAACTTGGCTAACCCTTCTTCTGATCTAGTAACTATCCACCCCGAAACATATGATCAGTTATTGTCTAATCTTTCACCAGCAATGCGAAAAATGTGTCAGTCTCAAACAGTTCAGAAAAAAGAATCAAAATCAGATGAGTGGTTTTCATCTCTACAATACCTGAATGCTAGTATAAACGATTTAACTATTTCTGAATCATTTTTAGATAATGGAAGTGAATTTGGAGCCTTGAATGATGCAACAATTAATGCCCTCGGATGGAAAGCTGACAAGCCATCTGACTTCGATATAAAAGGTAACTCTAAACATATCACCGAATCGTTGGGATGGTTTATGGATGTGCCAGTCAGTATAAAGGATAAGGATGGTAAAACTGTTACAGCTACTGGAAATTTTACACGTATTGATAATGGTGAACCCGAACCAATGTTATGTTTAGGTATGACATGGATTCGAAAAGTTCAAGGTATTCTTGACCCAAATAAAAACCAATTCCGAATGAAATTACATGGTAAGACTTATATTATTCCGACATTCAGCAAGACCCCATCTAGCTTGACTAATGAGGAAGACTTAAAAAAAAATGTGATGAATTTGAAAAGCAACTCATAAAGACTGAAGAGTGGCTTGACATGGCTTTAAAAGCAGGTAAAGTTCTTGCAGAAAGATGTTCTAAACTTACTGAGGCAAAGATGGGCACATAGGTGCTAATTTTTCAGTATCTTTCATTAATTTTTCAAGATCGGCCTCCATTCTAGATGTATTATCTATGGAAGTAGAGCTTCGAATCTTTGTTTTTGTCTGCTTATTTGGTTGAGTTTGTTCTCCTGATACATTATTGCTTAGCAGGCTCGTAGGGCTGTCTCTTTGAGACATGGGATAAGCTCTGCCCCTATCTAAAGACTGGGATCCTATATGAAGGTCATTCATAGTACCGATATTAATTTTATCAGTACTTGGTAAGTGAGAGTCAGAAATTCGGTAATGTATATCATTTTCTTCATAAGGATCGGGTATAGGTTGATCCCAGAGAACTCTATTAGCCTCTTCACCCCTCCAAATCTGGTAAATACGCTTTGTTGATGTTTTATATTTACCTGTCAAGTCGTTCAAAATCTTATATCTTGGTTTCATATCACGACATTGCATAATATAAGAATAATCTTCCTGAGAAAATAGGGGTGCATCAGATTGTATACGTACTCTAGGCATAGCAGTAAATGTAAGTATAAGATGTTTATATCTAACAAAAAATATAAAATATATCGAAATATTAAAATATATTGGAAAGATAGAATATACAGGATAATATTATTCATTTTTTCTATATAACAGATATGTATATTCGATCTAATACATAATAACTGATATGTATATTCCATCTAATACATATATTCTATCTAATACGTATATTCTATCTATATAATATATTATATGCAAAATACAAATATATTAATTTTTTTAGATATCTATAAGAATTGGATAATATGCCTCGAATCCATACATTATCTGATATAGGTGAAGGCAAAAAACTTGGAGACATACCATCAAATCAATATCCGCCTAGTTGAACGGAACTTGAAAATCAGCTTGCTTGTGCAAATTGAGATCGAGAAATTGCTATAGAGTGTGGCAATCGACTTGCCAATAAATGTTCTGTCTTAGATAAAGACAATAAGCGTATACAACGCGATTTAAAACAATCCAATAAAGATAAAGAGAAACTCTCCAAGCATACCTACCAGCTTGTAAATGAGGTTAAGCGATTGAGCTCAGAGTTAGATACTTTAACATCTCAAATTAACCAATTACAGATTTCCAATACTAAATATGGGGCCAAGGATATCATTCGATTGAAAAAAATAAAATCACTCCAGTCAATGAACAAAATATTAAATAGTAAGTTAGCGTCAGCTCAGAAAGATGCATTCTCAATTCAGGAAAACTTATCGAAAACGGAATCTGAGAATCTATCCCTTAAATCCAAAATAGCTGAAGTGGAACGGGAGTTAGCTTCAACAGTTAGTGATCTTGAGCGTCTGAAATCGGAGGATATATCAGAATCTATTGTTGGTGGAACTGATGAAAAAAATATATTGAGTCCTAATAATATCTCTGTGGGTAGTAATATCAGTAAATATTTTATACGCAGAAAAAATGTGGATGAGGCCCAAAAAATTGATACTGAGAATAGCTGTGAAACAGTTGCCACCAGTAATACCAAGATAAGTGACTCACGGAGTGAGGATGGTAAAACATCTAAAACTAGCGTTAGTGAAACTAGTAAAGATATATCTCCAACCCATGAGATAAAGAATATGACACCATACCTTGCTCAACAGGAAAATAGTACTATCTCTCTGAATGGAACCTGTCCTCAGATTTCGATGGGAGATGTGGAAGTGATGAGACCTGGTGCATTGGGATCACCATTAATTGCATTACTTTTACTTTCTTTGTTAATTATCGTTACTATATGGATTACGTTTATTAGACCTATATGGAATAGTCAAAAAAAAATAAAAAACAATATAAAGATACAATACCTCTGATTCAATCTTAATAGCAAAGCTAGTGACTTGTTACATATTTTTATATCAATATGCAAGAGAATTCAAAAACAAAAATACCTCCTATGAAACTATTCCTTATGGATATAGATGAAGCTAATAAACATGAATCAATTCGAAATGTTGGACATCCAGCAATGTCATGGCCTTTCAGTAAGGTAGTTAGTGGTAAGAGTGGTACGGGTAAAACTAATATACTTGGAAATATTTTTGTTGGTGACAAAGGTGAATGTATATATAAAAAGAAAAAGGGTGGATCCCGCTATATACAATGTGATGATTTGATAGTTTGTGGATACCACCTAGATGAACCTAAATGGGCATTTGTTAGATATATGTATGGAGTAATCGCAGGTAATCCTAAAGCACCTTACTATGAAAATATAAGATTCAAATATATCTCACCTGAAAAAATTCCTAGTGTAAAATCATTTTCTCCAGAGAGGAGTACTGTAATTATTTTTGAGGATTTATGTGTAGCCCCCGAGTCCATCCAAAACCGAATTATTCCATTCTTCACACATGGACGTAGAGGCCTGCAAATGGGACCCAACCCGGACCCAACCCGGCCCAGACCCGCATTGTGGGTTGGGTCCAGGTGGACATGATTAATGAATGCGGGTTGGACCCGGGTTGATAATATGTTAAAAGGATTTTCTATTCAAATAAAATGAATAAAACAAGTAATTTGAATAAAATGAATAATTGAATAATTCAAATAAAA